TTCATGGGTGTGTGGGGGGTGTTGGACGGTATCATGTGTATAAGAAATAGTGCAGTTACTGTTGTGTATATATATAGTTGAAAAAAAGCAGAAAATACAAAAAATAGATGATATAATTAAATAATACAAGTATACAAATACTACAGTAGCAAACAAAGGTGCAATAGTGATACGAGGTGCAAAAAACAAGATTGTAAATCCAACCACGAGGGTAAGTGGTTATGGTGGTGAAATCAGTGGAGAATAAGTCCCAAATTTGTAGACTTGTAAGATTCATCAGCAGATTCTTGGTTATAGGTGTTCAATTCCTTATGATCAGGAAGATGACCAGTGATTTGTGATGAAAAATAAGAGAATTGCGCACTCGCCAGAATGTGTGCTATGAAAACGCATTTGAGATCATAATCGTCTATCATCAGGGGTCAGCCAGGACAATCACTTCCAGGTATGGTCAGGTTCCTGCGCCTGTGCCTTTAAGGACCATTCTCAAATGGTATCACTGTCTCAGGACTTCTTCTAAACCGGCCTCTGTGAATGGATGAGACTTCGCAGAGAGTCCAAGAATAATTGCCACCATAGAGTGAAACTGCATTCAGTAGGGTATTTATTCCAAATAAGGAGCAAAATCTATACAGGGAAAGAATAACAATAACTGACCATGGTGTATAAAGTGGAACGTCAGGATGCTGTTAGCCCCTTACCCCTTGACGCTGTTTTCGTGCAAAGCACTTAGTCATAGGGTGTCCAGGCTCCTCAATTATGTATATTTACTTCACCTCACTTATTATATCTTCGCTGCCATTATATATCTGGGACTGGGCAGCTGGCGATCTGCAGGTTGCCAAGGCCTGCCGTATATATTTTTTTACCCTTCCCGTCTCTTTTTTTGTTTTTTGTTTTACCTTCTTTTCCATTCCCTTTGTATTCCTCTGTTTTGCCATCTTTCTCTTCTTGCTGTCATTTCCCCTTTATACCCTCCGTGCTGCCCTCATTCATCTCCCCCTCTTCCTCCTCTATATGTTTCCAGCTCTTTCCCCCTCTCTCTTTCTTCCCCTTAAGCCTCCGAGAAATCTCAGCTTGCTCCAGATGTTTCATTTGGAGATAGTGTTAGACACGGTGTAAATGCGGGGATTAAGGCTACGTTGTTCAAATCAATGTACGTGCCACCTGTCTCCAGGCTGATGCTTGCTCATTTGCAAGGCGATGCGTGGGGGTCTTTGGCCCTCCTCTCTGTGAGGACAGTCTAATGGCGTGGAGGCAGATGCTGTTCATCTATTTGCGCCATTGTGCGGTCCGGCGGTACTGAATGTTCAGTATTCTGCTATAGCTCCAGACACTCATTTCAATCAATTGTTGGGTCCTAAATAAAACGAGGAATTGTGTTACCACTAAAGCCTTAGTCTACATTCACATATTGGTGTTTTAAGTGGAATTGCACATCATAAACATCAGCATGTTCAGGTGCATTTCAATGGTACCTAAAAAAATGTGGGGCGATTTTTACTTCCTTTGGGTATTATGTGATTGCGATGATTTGTTGTGCCAGAATTGCCCTACGTTTTTAGGTACCATTGAAATGCACCTGAACATGCTGATGTGCAATTTGACATTTTGAAATGTGAATCGTGGCGATTCTGCCCATGATTTAAAAACACCTATATGTGAAATGGAGACTAAGGCTGTAGAACCAAGTGGTAACACAATTCCTTGTTTTATTTCAGGAAGCTGGGTCAGATGCCATTGCAAATCGCACCTCAAATCGGCACGTCATCCGACTTTGAAATCAAAGTTGCACGATTTCAATCTGCCAGGATTGGTGTGACCCGCGCATTAGATGTGATGGCTGCATTTGGCTTCTTTTTTAGGTTTTCAAAGATGTAAGTCCATTGTTTTTTCAATAGAACAAGCTCTCTTGCAGGTGTACTAGTTGGAGGGATGAGACAAACCACTAACAGGGGTGCTTACAGTGATCAGCTTTCATTTATTTTATGTAAAACCTTAAGGCACTCTCTCAGTTGGGCGATTCCAAATCACAGCTAAGTGCACAACATGCATTTGGATGCCATTTATCCTGAGTGCAATTTTTCCAGGCATTGTCGCACGACAAAACACATAAGAATTGTGGCAAAATAAAAATAAAAAAAAAAAAAAAAAAAAGCGCCTGGTTCAGGGCCAAGATTGGTCCCTGAGCTTCTTTGGTGCGACAACAACACACATAGGGCAGCCCATTCAAGTGAACAACACGCAGATATTCATATAAATTTCACTTTTAAAATTGCGAGCGGAATGCATGTTTGTAATGTGAACAAGGCCTGATCCCAAAAGAAAAAAAAATCTTTTGCTGTTACTGCTTGTGCAACTGCAGTGTAAGATGGGGGTTTGGCTTCAGTTTGTTAGTGTATCTAAATCTGCTAGTACATATAAAAACCACCTCGCTCCCCTCCCCCCCCAGACTGAAAAACCTGCTGTCCAAATGTGTCTTTGTTGCTCCTTCATTCAGTGTGGAGGCACTCTAATACAGGAGGTGAGTTACTGCCAGGACACCGGGAAAAAACAGAGGGAAAAAAGAAAAAGAAGAAGAATAAAAGACAAAAAAATAAAAGAAGAAAACTAATGCAGCCATCACATCTAATGATTGGTAAGCTGCAATATAATACATTTTTTAGTTTTGGGTTTAATACCACTTAGATATGTACAGGAAGGATAACCTAAATCAGGGGTCTCCAAACCACAGCCGTGGCCCAAAATCCAGTGCGCTACAAGATTTAATCCAGCCCTCTAATGGAAGATGGACTTTGAAGGGGACTCTGAATTGAGCCAATCGGTTGTGCTGCAGTACTCATGTGTTTACAAGGAACATGCTCATAGGAGAAGATAGCAGAGATGAGCTTATCAGTCAGCTGCTTCTCATTTCACTGTACATTCACAGGCTGGGGGAGGAGCAAGACCTGTAAGTATTTCTTTACTGTAGATGAGATAAATCAGGTCTACTGACCCCCAGACAGGGCTAAGTTGTGTAGCAGAACTGTAGAACTCTCAGGACTGGATAGACAGCATTACAAATCCCTTTGCAGACAACCCAACTTCTATATGTGTATTTCATATCTATATCCAGCGCTTTGCCTGGAGTCCAGCCTTGAAAGGTCAATGAATACCTATATATGCTGTTAGAAATCATGGGGCCCCACACAGCTTATTTTTGCTACAATGCCACAGCCTCGATGTTATGCTTTGCAGCCATCTTAGAAATGATACCCCCCATCGACCCAAGACTCATTTAAGCCCCATAACATTTGCGCACAGTTGCGCTTCGCTAGTGCGGGGTCAAAGCATCCGGTGAAGAGACAATATGCCTCCACACTGCCTGTCAAATATTCTCTGAAGATAAATCCAAATGCTGACTGCTCTTCAGACAGCAATGTGCAATTGAATGAATCCTTAATTTTATAAAAAATATTTCTTACAATTCTGAATTTATTTAAATTTTTTTCAAATGTTTTATTTAATTTTATTATATATATTTTTTTTATTTATTTCGGGTTTATTTCGCACATTTAAGTCGCTTGTTGGGGGGCTTTGATCTAAACAGACCTCTCATGTCTCACATTTGAGACAGTGAAAAGGAATGAGGACATTCATCAGGCTCTTTCTTTGCAGCCTTAGCTGCACTGGAGAGGAATGAATAGGAAGTGCACTGAGGCTTTGTGTTCGTAAACTGAACCATTGTAAACAAAGTTTACTATGATTCAGTGATGAATGGACATAGGAGTGAACGATACTGATCACTCACTGTGCTCATTCAGGAAAGGAAGGGGATAGCAAATATGACATATTTACTGTCCCCTTCTCCTGCTCTCCATCCTGAAACATCCCCCTGTGTGCCTTCAGCAGCTGCCAGTGGGAAAGGAAAGGAAGGAAACCCAGAAGCTCTACGGGGGGGCAGGGGAAGGGGCACACGGGGGGGGGTCAATGACAGGGGTTGGGGGCACAGATACCGGTCACCCTGCAGCGCAGCTAGAGGGAGTGAGAGGAGGAGAAGCCAGTAGTGCTGCAGGGGGGAGGCACAAGATCAGTGTCTTCAATAAGGCAGTATAGCCAGCCCCCCTGCTCAGCAAGTGCCAGGGATCCCCTTTTAAACTGATGGGGGCCAGGACTGGTACAGGAGGGCCGGCTGTACTGCCTTCATCAGTGGCCCTGATTATGTCATATGCAGCCTCAGATACTAGAAATAGTTTCTTGCTGCATAAATGGTGCAATATATCTGCAATAATAAATATCATAAAATATTAAAAACGAAAGGATTAACATGACAACAGAATAAGGTGGGCAGTGGCAGTTCCCATATTTCACAATGGCAGTTCTCATTTCTTTTTTTTTTTTCTTGAATCTGCTGATGCAGTTTTCTCAGAGTCATTCAGTGGTAAAAATGTTTGTTTGCAGAGCAGAAAAATTATTATTTGGCGCTTTATGCTAATGAATATGGACTTTACATTGAATAGGGCACACACAAAAAATTGCAAACACACAATACAAAACAGATTAACCACTTGCCCTCCTGAGGATTTACCCCCCTTCCTGATCAGGCCATTTTGTACGATACGGCGCTGCATTATTTTAACTGACAATTGCGCTGTCATGCAAGGTTGCACCCAAATGAAATTTACGTCCTTTTTTCCCCACAAATAGAGCTTCCTTTTGGTGGTATTTGATCGCCTGTGCATTTTTTATTTTTTGCGCTAAAAACAAAACAAGCCACAATTTTGAGAAAAAAAACACAATATTTTTGACTTTTTGCTATTAAACAAGTCCAGTAAAATAATTTTAAAAATCTAATTTCATCATAAAACTTAGGCCAAAATGTATTCTGCGACATTTCTTTGCTAAAAAAAATCTCAATACGTGTAAATTAATTGGTTTATGTGAAAGTTATATCATTTACAAATGGTGGTATAGATACTGGAATTTTTTTTTTTACTAGTACTGGTGGCAATCAGCGACTTATAGCGGGAGTGCGGTGGGCTTCTAACACTGGGCGGAACTGACCTGGTGTCACTGACATCCCCAGTGACACCAATACAGTGATCAGTGCTAATAAAAAGCACTGACACTGTACTAATGGCACTGGACAGGAGGGGGTTAACATCTGGGGTGACCAAAGGGTTACCTGTGTGCTGTTTCACTATGTTGGCTGTGTGTGTGCTTTCCACTGTAAGCAGGGGTGTATTTACCACAAGGCAAACAAGGCATTTGCCTAGGGTGGCTTTTTTGGGGGGGGGGGGGGACAGCACTGCTCCTTGAAAGAAGGGAATGAAGAAGGGACACACGCGGCTTGGGGACCTGGTGGGTTCCAATAGATGCTGTGGGTTTCATGATGGTGTATGCACAGCCCGACTCTCGTTCCTGGGATGTCCGGAGCTGATAAGGTGAGTGTCTCTCTCTCTCGCCATGGGGGATTGTGGCTAGTGTATGGAGGGCAGTGGTAGTGGAAGGCTCGGGTGGAGGGCAGGGGTGCTCTTGGTCAATGTCAGGCTCTTTCTGCAGGGGGGGCGTCAATTTTTGTTTTGCCTAGGGCAGCACAAAACCTAAATACACCACTGACTGTAAGCACACTGCTTTGTATGGCTCTGCAATGCAGAGCCATACAACGCAGTGTGCAGGAGCTCACAGGGGAGAGATCTGTATTGTTTACATACAGGTACAGGTTACATACAGGTCTCTCCCCCGTCGGAGATACTCGGCGATCACCGGATGCTGGCGAGTCTTCACTGGCTAACAGCCCCAAATTGTGGCGCGGGTAGGTCGCACGTGCGTCCCCCCCCTACCCAGAACTGCGGAATCACTTATATATATGTGATTTTGTACACCCGTGCCGCCCCGGTAGCAGTATTTCTGCTGTAGGGCAGGGCGAACCGGTTAAAAATAAAGAGTACCCAGGAATGCTATGCAAAGTCCAAATGGAGCTTCAGATATAAGGCTGAACATGTTATTCCTTTGTTACTTTCAACTCTTAATTATTGGAAAGCAATAAAATGTCAACGTCTGTACACTTAGCACAAATCTGATTAAATTACCCCCCACCCCCCCATCATCACCACCACCACCCGGAAAATGAAACTTTTAGGTTGATCACTTAATAATCCAACCACGACACACAGTCTGATGTTCCCTAACAAACATATCTAGGTACACGTAAATGAAAGGTGCCAGATGTAGCTAAGCAGGACAGTAATTTAATTTATTGTCTTTGAAAAGAAAGTCAATTATGTGAAATAGCTTTTTTTTTTTTTTCCTCTCCCTCTGAACATAAATTTTCATCTGATTATAGCATATTAAATGCCTCTCTTTTTACCTCCTATTTAACATTGCAAATGCGTTTTCACACCTACGGAAAGAAAAAGAGTATGATGGCAGACCGTCCTTTTTGTTCCAACGGTTATGTACATAATTAAGGCGATTTGTTTCAGCACTTTATCGAAACACATTCATCACAAGAAAAAAAAAACGGCATTTGGAAACACTGTGAAGTTTTTTTTTTTTTTTTTTCAAAAACATTTTTTTATTTTATTTTTTGTTAAGCAATGATTTTTTTTGCCATTTTTAAAAATATGTTGACATTTGACCGCATTGTCCGTGGGTTTTGTCCCAACTCTAGAAAAAAAAATATTTTTTATGCTATACTGTACCTTGATCTAACTGAACCGAAACCAACTAGCATTCATTACGTGCAGCGAAAGACTGCGTTATGGCACTTTGTTCATCATTTTGACAGCACTCAAGATATCGGCCTGCGCGCCTTCATTCCATCACGGAATGTTCCCAAAACAAAGAGCATATATCTTATGTTTAAATTATGCCTATCATTTATACGATCAAAAGCAGAAAATATATTCACGGCTTATTGAAAACAAATGAATACCTGTTTCCTCTGTCACATTGAATGACCTTCGGGAGATTTTAGTGTAGGCATTAACAGAAAATTGTAGCTTAAGTACGCAGATGAGCATTTATAACAGTCGCCGTAGCCTTTCTATAGAAAGTTTTGCGCTCAAGCTATTTGGAGGTCAGGTGATATATGAAAGAAGGACATTTTGCTTTTTTGTTGTAATCACTTCTTATGTTAGTGCTGTTTGTACTGTTGTCCCTGCAGATGGAAAGAAAAGACTTTTGGGAAAACTTGTAATCTTTTGTCTGTTTCATGTGGTAAAAGCAAAAATGGGCTTGTATTTGTATTGCAGGTTGAACACTGAAGTGTAAGCTGAAGCATAAAGATGAAGCATTTGAGGATTTTTTTTGCCTTCAAGTGAAATTATGGTAAAATGTGCATGTGCAGTGCCTGCTGCTGGGGAAATCGGGTATTGCAATATGACCAGCAACTAGCATTCTCAATGGGAAATAATTTAATTTTGTGGTCATATATTGGTATACTCCCAATAACTCCCAACTGTTCCTAATTTCAAGAGACTGTCCTTGATTTTGGAACAAATTTCCTCTCTCCCTCTTTTCTTCTCATTTGTTTCTCATTTTGGTCTGATTTACATGTATATAAAATGCACTTTTATCTTTCAAAAAGTGTTTCCAAGTGCTAAACCTTTTATCCAATTTTTAAATTGCTGCATTTGAAAATTTCAAAAATCAGTATAAAGGAATAGTAGTGGTAAAAAAAGCACTTTTGGGCGTGACTAATCTTTTTTTTAAATTTTTTTTTATAATTCTTCTTTAGGGGGCGTGAGTGGGGGTGTGTTCTATGCCTTCATACTTTTGCTAATAGATGTCCCTTGTTCCCATCTCAAAAAGTTGGGAGGTATGGGTATACTAAATTGATGGCCTTCTGTAATTTAAAAAGGGGCTTAATGGCATCATGGGCCCCTGAGCAAAGTAATGCACTGGGACCAGGGGTGGACTGACAACTCATGGGGCCCCCGGGCAATAGGGGATCATGGGGCCCCTGTGTCCTTGCCTAAACTCAAAAAAGCCTATGAAAAAGGTACCAGGGGCATCTAATAGGGCCCCCCACTGACCCCGGGCCCTTGGGCAGTGCCCGAGATTCCAAATGGTCAGTCCGCCCCTGACTGGGACCCCTACCAGCCTGCATCAGGTGTCCCCATCACAGTGACCCCTTACATCAGGGGTGGCCAACCTGCGGCTCTCCAGCTGCTGCAGGACTACTAGTTCCATCATGCCTCTGCAAGTCAGTAACTTCCCATCTTTGCAATGCCTCATGGGAAATGTAGTTCCACAACAGCTGGAGAGCCACAGGTTAGCCACCCCTGCCTTACATCAAGTGTACCCATCACAATGTCCATATACATCAGGTGTCCCCATTACAATCCCCATCCATCAGGTGTCCCCATCGTATGTCATCCCTTCAGAGCTCTGTGCCACGTGCAGTGTGTGAATGTCATCATTGACCACTCAAAAGGCCAGAGCCCACAAACCCAGAAGGAAGACCCGGTGAAGATGGAGGGCTTCATTTTCAGTTAAGTCTTTCATAATGTGCTTGTGGGGAGATTTTTTTTTTTTAATGCAAGCTGCGGCTTTAAGATCTTCACACTTCTGTAGAAAGTGTGTAAAGGATTATCTCATACAAAGGTGATATTTCATCAGCTGCAGGTGGATTCTGGAGGACAAGCTGGTTACCAGTTATGTTTGCACCCAACCTTTGTGTCCCTGTCCGTGACACTGTAGTCCCATCAACAAACAGGGCTGAATTTATGAGGAATGCCAATAGATTCAGCCTTGGCCAAACCTATTAATACAACACAGAAGTGTTCTCTGAATAATATACAAGTCTATGCAGAGGGCAAAGCAGGGTCAATACTTTTATGTGGGTAACAATTACAATCAAGCAGGAGCAGCAGAGAATGAGTAATTCACATTCAGTGTACTAGTAATATTTCAGGAAACATCGTAAAGATGGTAACATTGGAGAGTCCACTCAGTTATCTTTAATCTTAAAAAGTACTCAGATTATCTCACTGAAGAGAGATTAAGGGCTCATTCACACTTGTTATATGCACTGTAAATGTGTAAAGAAAATAATGCTCCGCTACAGGCTTCACCTTCCTTTACAGACACTTGGTTTCAAGAGCAGGCTCCCGCAAAAAGACAGACCATGGCACTTGGGGGCGGAGCCTGAACATGGCGGCAGGGGAGAGCTCAATGTAGGAGCTCGTGGACGGAGCTCCGTTGGTCTGACCTCCCCAGGCCTCCAAGCTTATCCCCTGGGGTATGTTAGAGCCCTGCGGTGGGGGACTTACCCGGTCTGAAGGCTCCCGGCGGAGGAGAGACTGATGCGGGTGAGGGAAGAGAGAGGAGCGGCTGGTGACTGGTGAAGAGAGAGTCCCTGGACGCTGGGAGACGAGAGGGGCCGGCGCGATCACGTGACCGGCCGCAAGGCACCTCTGGGAGATCAGGAAGCCGGCCGGCCGGCGTTCGCGGGGAGAGAGCAGCGCTGACCTGTTTACCGGGGGCCGACATACTCTCCCCCTATCCCCCTAGTAACCCAGGAGCCTAAAAGAATGTGGAAGGAGAACCATTGAGACCTGGACAAGGAGTCTGAAGAGACCCTGGGGAGTTCCCCCCCCCATGAACAGACCCTCAGAGGAATCGACCGAAAAGGCACTCACTGGAAGAAGACATAGGAGGAGGGTGAGTGACAGATGTTGTGGCAAACTTGCTCATCAGAATTGGAGCGGAGTTCCCCCTCAACCCTCGTTTTCTGTTCTATCTGTTTATCTGAGGCATTTCTCAAATCACTCCTCACATCCCCCCTGCATTCCTGTGAGGCAAACGTTATCTTCTGGCAGATGGTGTGGGGGGTCAACCAGGTTAAGACATCCTGCGTCCAGCAGTCGATAAAGGTTGTAAAGTGGACTACCTCCCCCATCTAAATCAAGATAAGAAAACTGCACATTCCTCAGATGAACTGTATGTTTCATATCATGGGGGATGAGTTGTAGTTAGAGTAGAGTTCCCCAATGACCACTCCCAAAATGGGTAGTCAGAGCCCCCCCTTCCCCTGAGAGGGACCCTTTAAGACTTTTAAGTGAGTTAGAGAGACACACACACACACAGGGATCTCCCAGCAACATCGTAACAAGGGGAGATCAAAGAAGCTTTCTGCTCACAACTTGAATTTGCTAAAACCAGGCAAGGCAAGTAACTTACCCTGTATTTTTTGCTCGCTATTCTATGTTTGCTGTGTCTTATATATACATATATATATATTTTTGTGATATCTCTTTGTACATATATATTTTGCATCCAACGCTTTTAGTAATAAATCTTTCTTTCTGAAAGTGTTAAACTGTTTCTAAGCGCTTACTTGCAATTCACGAATCCCTGCCTTTGAAGAGACGCTACTGTGGTTATATTTCTGTATAGCAAGGTCTGCGGGCCGTGCTATATAGACCAATATTTCAATCATTATAGTGTATATTTAGTAACGGGAGTTTCCCAGTCTCCGACAAAAGTGGTGGTGGCAGTACAGAGGGTTAGTTGCGTAACTAACCCGACCCAGTAACAAGCGCATCCAGGCTGCAGGCACCGATTATAGTCCATTAGCTGGGCAATCGCTGTGTAGGGTGCAGCTGGGTGGGGCCTTGTTACGCGCGTCACACCGCGGTTTTGGATCGGCCGGCCCTTCGGTCACGAGTTTGGTGAGAAGGTCTGGGGTCTGACGCCGTGGGCGTGACGTATTACT